CCTGATGTTCCCAGATGTGCTGAGCACATGTAAAAATGTGAGATAACTCTCTGGGTTGGAAGGAATTAGGGTGTCTGATTTTCTGGAGAATTCTATTTGATATAGGAGTTTCAGCAGTTACTTCCTGCTGTCCTAGAACTCTCAGAAGAAACCCCTTTCTGGGGACTTCAAGGTTCTCCTTAGAGGACTGTGTCCCTTTGACCTCTACGTACTTTGACCATGCTGGGTACACTTTCATCCTGACCCCAAAGGTATATAAATTATCTAATGTCCTGGATCTGAATGCCTTCCCCTTTCACCATACATAAAATCATTCTTCCTCTTGGCTGCCTGGAGGTAAATTCTGAGAATTACTGACGTGGGTTTGTGGAATGCTTTGAGCTGCTCAGATGAAAGGAGCAAAGCTCTAATTCTGTTAATAACATAACCTTGTAGTCAGTGGGCCCACCGAGTCAGGTAAACAGGGAAAGACCCGCTGGAATCAAAAATACCCCCAACAATCCAGGGAGGCCCAGCTTGGTGCTCTTACTAGCTTTGAACCCCTGGGCACATCACCCCACTTCTCTGAGCTTATTTACTCCTCTGTGAAATACCGGTAAGAATCCTTGCCTCGTTGGGGTGTCCTCTGGATCTCGTGAGCTAAATGTCTAAAGAACCAGGATACTGCCCAATACAAGAAGATACTCCAGGAAAGATAGTTTTATTGCATCATGAAGAAATTCATTATTTACTTTCTACGTGTCTCCATCTTGTTTCTCAAACTAAACGACAACTTCTCTGCCACAGTCAACTTATTCATCACACTGTCTTGCACATGAAAGGCACTAAATAATTGTTTGTTGTCAGTTTTCTAAAGTTTTAAATCAGAGAATGCACTCTTTCCATTCAAGATTCGCTTATGGATTATTTGCTGTTGTGAGGCATTCTCAAAGAATTCCTAGGAGGGCATTCCTTTTCTTGGCCTCAGTTTTCTCATATGCAAAACCAATGTTCAAGTTTATTATTCTAGATGCACTGAGGTCCTTGTAGCATTACAGTGTGGAATCTGTGTATTCCTCGAAGGCCACGTACTATAGGTTATTCTTCTTTCTGACCGGTCACCACTTAATACAAGTGGTGGTCACTGATTAAGTGCCTTCCCAGTGCATGTGGAATCATTCCAGTCACCTCACTGATCCTGTATCCTCCCAGCCTTCCCTCTTACCACTCACCTGTCCTTCACTCTGTTCCAACCAGACTGTCTTTTCTTTGTACCCCTAGAATTTTCCAGGCTTGATCTGCCTTGAGCCTTTGCACTTGCCATTTCTCATCACTTGGTTTTCTGCTCAAGTGTCTCCCCACCAAATTCTCTCTATCCCACGACCCTGCTTTTTTTTTTTTTCTTGTAATTACTCTCTGAAATTGTCTTATCATTTAGTATTTATTTGCTTCTGTTTTTTGCATTTTATTTGCATTTATTGTTTGTTTTCCCCACCTCTCCCTCTAGTCCTCAAATATAAATGTCTGTTTGGGGTCCTTTTATGTCCCTGCCACTAAAATAGTACTTAAAACAGATCTGGCACAGACTAGGCCCCTAAATGAACAATTGTGAAATGAATGAATGAGTAAACTCTACCATACCTTATAGAGTAGCTTTTAGATGGTGAGCTAAAATCTGTGGCCATCACATCCGGTTCTAATGAACTTCTTTAGGGTATGTGTCCTAAGTGAATCTATTGCCATAGGTCTAAGTAAACATTCAGTGGGAAGAAACAAGGAATAACTTATTTCTTTTTATTATGGAAAATTTCAAACATAAACACACGTAGATGTAGATAAGACTAGCATAATGGATCCTCTTGTACCCTGTGGTGGACAGACACTAGCGTGGCCCTGTCATCCTGGTATCCATACCCTGTATAATCCTCTCCTTTGAGTGTGCATAAAAACTGTGACTTGCTTCCTAACCAATAGAATATGGCAGCTTGATGTCACCCCTGTGTGATGACTTACGTTATGTAAGATTCCATCTTGCTAACAAAATTACTCCGGGGACTCTCAGTGCTAGCTTGATGAAGTCAGTGGCCATGTTGGGCAAGGGCATGGGACAATAAACTCCAGGTGCCCTCTAGGAGCTGAGGGCAGTCTCTAGTTGACAGCTAGCAAAAAGCCAGGGTCTTCAATCCTACAGCTACAAGGAAATGAAACCTGCCAGTGACCTGAGTGAGCAAGGAAGCGGATACTTTTGCAGTTGAGCCTCCAGATAAAACACAGCCTTGTCACCACCTTGATGGTAGGTTAAGCTGAGGACCCTAGGTGCCTGGACACCTGACCCATAAAAAGTGTGAGATAATAAACTGATGTTGTTTTGAGCTGCTAAATTTGTGGTGATTTGTGGCAATGCATAACTAATTCAGATATATCACCCAATGTAAACAATTTTCCATAGTTTGCCAGTATTGTTCCATCAATATGGTTATGGTTTTGGGGATGGACAGGCTGGAGTATTTTAAAGCACTTGCAAATACTTTAGTATGTCTAACAGAGAAGGACTTTTTAAAAGTATAATGGTGATGCCAGAAAAACTAAGGCTTCACTGAGAACCAAAATAGAAGTCTTTTTAAAGCCGGGAAATTGATGGATCTAGTATATTAATTGGACAAGGGGAGAAAAGGTATGTTCTATAAACTGAGTGAGAGTAACATCCCCTTGATCCCATGAGCTAAAGAACACGTAAGCATGAGACCTTTCACTTGAAATTTCTAAGCCTTGCCAGTTATTCTCGTTGTTTTTAAATAGTGCAGTCACAAAGTACTTAATTGTTCCTATCATATGTTCATCTGTCATACAAAATCTAAAATCATTCAAACCCAATTCTGATTGTAGATTTAAGATCCGACCCATTCCCCTAACCTGCTCTGGAATGGACCCTTGTGAATGCCACTTTTTTCATAACACCTTATAATTTCATATCCTACTATAATTGCCATCCCTACCACTTTCCCCTGACTGCAGGAAGCTCTTTCCAACTGGCCCCAGTTCTTTTTCTCTCTTGGATAAACCAGTCTCGTCTACCTTTGACACTGCTCAACGACGCAGCGCTTTCTAAAGGAAAATCTCGGCGCTCTGGGTTTACTCTCATCTTCACCACCGGGGCACTTTGAGATCTCTGGCAAGTATGAGCGTGCTCTAAACTGGATACAATAGTGCCTCGCAGGGTTGCAGCAAAGATTAGATAAGAACGTGTGTAACGTGTAAAGTGCCCAGCACTGGGAAGGCACAGCCGCTCCCCACCATTCCCTTTGTTAGTTCCCATCTCCAGTCTCCGAGCACCAGAACGCCCAGCACCGCGCCTCTCCCGCTTTCGTCGCGGGGGATGCAGGGATTTGTAGTTTTTTGGTCCCCAAGTCGTATTTCCTCTCGGAGCCAGTCGGCGAGAGGAAGAACTACACATCCCAGTGGGCGGCGAAAGGAAAGTGGGGCTCGGAAAACCGAGCGTCCCCGCCCGGCTGCCTTCGCTTTCCGCTGCCCACTGGTTGTTCCCACCACGCGAGGGCTCCGACCCCGCGGCAAAGCCAGGGAGGGCGCGAGCGCACCGGCGGATCGGCCGGGACGGTGGGGCGGGGCGGGCAGGGGAGGCGCGGGCTGGAGAGAAGAGCGGTCGGTCCCTCTGCTGCCGTGGGAGCTCGCAGGGGAAAGGGGAGAAATAAAGCGAGTAAATCGCGAGCGCCCGTGTCGGAGAAGCGAGAAAGAAAGGGTTGGGGAGGCAGCAACCCCCGCAGAGCCTGGCCGCCACGGGCTTGTCCTCCGGGACGGAGGCAGGGATCCGGGGCCGGAGGGGACCCAGACCGCTCCACTCTCCCTGCGGGAAAACCTGGAAACCGGCCGGGCCCCGAGACCCCGGCCCGCAGCCCTCATCCCGGAGTCAGGCCTGCCTTGTACCACCTCTCCCCATCCCGTCGCCGGGCACCCCCGCCCACTCCCGGGCAGCAGTAGGGCTCCCCGCAAGTCGACCACGCGCCCCGCTGGGGGAGGAAGAGGAAAGCCGGGGCAGGCCCGGGGAGGGTCACCTCTCCGCGCGGGTTCCTCAGGTCCCCGGGAGTGGCAAGAATGGATTTGCGTGTTGCTGCGTGAGTGTGTGTGTGTGTGTGTGTGTCCCGTGTTGCTGCGTGAGTGTGTGTGTGTGTGTGTGTGTCCCGAGCCGTCCTCGAGCGATGCCAGGGGGAGCCCAGCGCCTTCCCGGGGGGCCGCGTCGGGCCCGCCCGAGCGGACTGGGGCGGGGACCCCGCGGAGCCGGTGCCGGTGCCGGGCTTCGCGGGCGAGAAGGAGGAGCGGGAGGAGGAGCCGGGCTGGCTCGGCGAGGGCCGCCGCCCACCCGGCTGGGAGGAGGCGGACCCGCTCGGAGCGCCGCGAGCGCGCCGGGGCTGAGCCTTGCAAACAAGTGTCTGTGGCGCTCGCCCCGCGGCCCTGAGACGCGCTCCGCCGCTCCCCCGCCCCCGCCCCCCGGCGGCCCTCGTTGCGCCCGGCCCGGCCCCTATGGGGCAGGAGGGAGCCAGGGAGCCGCTGGCCGTGCAGCCCACGAGCCGCCGCCGCGACCCTCGGCCGGGGCGGCCCCGGCAGCGTCGCGCGGGGGCCGCGGTCTGGGCTCGGCGGCCAGGCGCGCCGGCGCGGGGTCGCAGCGCGAGCAGCGCCCGGGCTGTTGCCGAGCCCGCTCCTGACAGAATAACGTGCTCCGTTTCCCCACCCACCCCTGGGAGGGGTTGCCGGTGCCGCGAGCTGCCTCCCAGTTTCCATCGCTCTCTCCTGGGGAGGATCCGCCGCCGGGAGGAAGGATTAGAATAAACCTGGCCGCGGCGCCGAAGTGGCTCCCGAGGAAGCCGGCGCCGGGGCCGCCGCCTCGTGTCCCCTCGGGGCGCAGCGCTCGGGGGTCGGCCGGCCGGAGCCGAGGCGCGGCCGGCGGGCCGAGGGCGGCGGGGCCGAGCGAGCGGCTGTGCGAGGGGGCGGGCGCGTGGCGAGCCGGGGGCCGGCCGGGCGGCCCCTCGCGCCCCGCGGGGCCCCGGAGCCCCGGTACGCGGGCTGGAAGCGACTGAGGACCGGCGCCGCGGGCTGCGGGCGAGCACCGTCCCTCCCGGAGGGGGACCCGGCTATGACAGCTGGACTCCCGCAAGGGTTAACCTGGGTGTCCTCGGCAAAGTTGTCGCCGAGCCGGGAGCCGGCGTAGGGGCCGCGGCGGCGCGGCTCGGGGGGCGGCCGGGCGGCCGGCGGCGGTCGTGGCTCGGCGGGGCCCGCGCGGCCGGGGGGCTTCTGGGGGCGTGCGCCCCCAGCCGGCTGCCCTCGTGGATGCCTCCCGGCGGCGGCGGGCCCATGAAAGACTGCGAGTACAGTCAGATCAGCACCCACAGCTCCTCCCCCATGGAGTCGCCCCACAAGAAGAAGAAAATCGCGGCCCGGAGGAAATGGGAGGTTTTCCCGGGAAGAAACAAGTTCTTCTGCAACGGCAGGATCATGATGGCCCGGCAGACGGGCGTCTTCTACTTGACTCTCATCCTCATCCTGGTCACTAGCGGACTCTTCTTCGCCTTCGAGTAAGTGGCAGCGAAAGCTCCGCGACGCCCTGCTCCCCTCGCCTCCCCCGACCCCTGCCCCTCCTTTCTCTACTTTCGTTTTCTAGAAGCCTTATTTGCTGTACATTGTTATATAATGCAGACCCACTTCTCCCTCTTTTTCTTTTGAAGGTCTGTTTGCTCCTTGGTCCCCAGAGGTAATGCAGTCCTGGGTCGGGCTTTGGGAGTGGAGAGGGGAGAGGGCACGCTTGGAAGGTGGTTGGCACCTCGCAGGTGACTGATTCTTGGTGCTGTCTCAACTGAGTTTGGAGGCTAGCAAGCCAGCCCAGATGTAGCCTTGTGTGGGAAGGGAGGATGAGGCGGATTCCTCAGTCAGGGATAAATACAATTGACTTCCTTTCTTGCTCACAAGCTATAGGGCATCTTGTTAAGCTCATTTACTAAATCTTCTAGCTACCTTCGCTGAATAGTGAAGAATCTTGGTTATTTCAGGTTTACAAGTGTAGGCCACCCAAGGTGGCCTGGAAGGATAATTTCATTTTTTCATTCTCCTTAGGTGATCACTCTTGATCAACAATTTCTGATTTATCATGAGGTTTCTAAACTCTTCACTTTTAAAAAAAGTTTCAATAAAAAATATTGGAAATACACACTTTCTTCCCCCCCCCCCCCCATGTTGGGGAACAGGTGAAAGGAGACTTTCTCAGCCTGTTCAGGAAAAGTATGACACTGAATGGTAACTTCTGTTTCCAGAAACAGTACTTTGGGACTTTAGGGCTTTAATTTGAAAAAAGTGCATGCAAGTCTTTGCCGTTTTCAGGAAAATCAAGTTGGCTAGTAGCAACTGTCCTCCTGCCAACTAATGAAAGATCTTCTTATTTATTAATAGATTAGATAAAGTACTTTAACCACATTCCAGAATCAATTTCAATTGCTTTTATTGGGTCCAACATTTGCAATGCAGCTTCTTATGTAATTCCTGGTATCCTATGTACAATAAAAGTTGTAGCTACTCCCCCACTACACTCCCCCCACAAAAAACAATACATTTATTGGGGGTTCTTTGCGTTTCCTGTATCCTGCTTATCATGGGGCATGGTACCCATTCAGTCTCCATCTTCTGTTGCATAGGGTTAATTAAACCTTTGTGTTTATTTACTTTTGTCTCTGGTAAGTATTAATAGGCTCTGATTTTGTGCCCAGTGTTTGGTATTCCAAATGCCATCTCAATCAGAAATGAATGATCTCTTGACAATGTAATACTTTTCACGTAAAGCCCTCTGACTCTGAGGGGAAACATTTTGCATCTGAACATTGTGCTATGATGAACAGTTTTAGCAGGATTGAGGTGAGGAGAAAGATCTCAGAGGTAAGCCACGCAGCGCCCCCAGGCCTCACACACAACCCCTCCATTTCTGACTATGTACATTTCCCAGGTCTCTTCCAGAAGTTTAACTTTGGGGCCCATTTGCAACTAGGGTGGAGCCTGTTGGGGGCCTCCGGGATGGGAGGGGGAGGGTATGAAAAGGCTTTGGGAATGGCAGGAGAAATGCTCTGTTCCTCCTCTCTTGCTCCCCTTGTCCCCTTCCAGAGGCAGCCACTCATCCTTACAGACCTGGGTCTGAGTCATAATAGATTCAGGCACTGGAGTGATGATGCCATGTGATTGAACACAAATGCCATCCTTCGATTGGCTTTCCTTACAGGTGGCCTTCGAGATAGATAGGATTCACTACGTTCCTAATGTTAAAAATGTTTTGAGCTGATCTCTATTGGCATTTTTTGCTCTTTTTAGCAATTTTAAGAGTGGGGAAAATGGGTTAATTTTGTGAGCTTCAGCCACAGGTGTGTTTCATGCAGGATGATGAATGTTTCATTTTCTGTGTACACCCAAATCCCCACTGTATGTTTAGAGATCCCATCTAGTTGTACTTACTGTCTTTTATTTTCTTTATTTAAGTATTGCTTTTAAGCAAACCATCATAAATTCATTTTCGCGTCTTAAGCTCTGCGTGTGTTTCTTCCAAGAGTTCCCCAAAGTCCTCACTAGTAGGTTGTTAAGGATCTTTTTCTGCATCAGCATTTTGTTAACCAGTGACTGTAGGAATAAACATGTGTGCTAGGATTTTATTAGGTACTCTTGGTAACTTCCTTTTTAGATAAGCTCTGTGTGTGTGTGTGTGTGTGTTCGGTCTCCATGAGTGTTGCTTCAATTACGCAATTTGAAATTTCAAGAAAATAGGCCAATCCTGGCCTGATGCCTCAGTTGGGAAAAATCATAGGGCTGTTCAAACTATAGAATATAATGGTTTGGCTAAGAATATCGTCACTGTGTTGCTTTTAAGTTCTTTATCATCACTAATGACAAAGGGAAATTAAATGACTCTGGCCAAATTAATTTGATAGACTCAGAGAAGCAATTAGTTCCATGCATAGGATATGAAATGGCACAGCCTAAAAGAGATCAAGAGAAAATGCCAGTTTTGTCTGCTCACTGCCTGCCTTCCTTCTGCCCTTTCTTTAGGTATTTATTGAGCACATACTATGTGTTTGCCTATTTGGATTAATTTCATGTCTGGATAACTTTAATATTAGTAGAATTCGTGTTCAAACGTCAGAGTCCATGTTTCCCCATACCGTTAACAAAAGGCAAGTACAACATTTGAGAAGAAGACACAGGGCTTAGCTTCAGACCTCCTTTTTCTGTAACTCTTCGCCCACCCTACCTCTCATTCCCAACCTTGAGCAGAGGACAAGGAAGTTTGTCCAAGAGAAAGGGACTTACTTTTTAGAGCACAGCCACAGGTGTTGATACTGCCCCTCCAACCCTGGGGAAAAGGCAGGGTGGGAATGATTATTTCCACATTGCAGATGAAGTGACAGAGGCATAGAGAAGTGAAATAACCAAGGGTCACACACCAACTAGTGGCAGGGCTTCAGACTGCGAAGCCCATGCCCTTTCTGACCCACGGTGCTCTCCCTTCAAGTATAGAATAGTGCTTAAAGGTATGGACTTTGGAAGGACAGATCCCAAGATTCTAAACAAAAGTATGACCCTGGGCAAATAATTTGACTTTCTAAGCCTCAGTTTCCCAGTCTGTTAAATGGGATTAATAATATCTACCTTAAAGTGTTACGGAGATTAAATAAAAAAGTATAGTTAGTACAGTGTCTCATACATAGTCAGTACTCCATAAGCAGCACATATTATTAGAGCAAACCTTAGAAGTAGCCTTCCCAGGACTCTCTTTTCTGAGAGCCTTTGAAGGAGGGAGTAAGTGGGTTAATAAGCAAGTATAACAGTGGTAGCACATTGGGCTGAAAAAAATGCAGATCTGTGTAGTTTGCAGTTGAAATAAAGACCTTCGTATGAGTCTGAGGAGTGGCTTCACTCTTGCCCCTTTAGAGTGGGAGTCCTGCAGAGAAGTCTGGGACCCCTCCTTGTCCAGACCTGAGCAGGAGCCCTGAGGAAGCCTCCCAGAAGCAGGGACTGGATTTCATTTCTGTTTTCAGAGCTACCATCTTAGAACCATGAAGACAGTAAAGAAAGCTACTAGAAGCTACCTGATGCAACTCCGCTCATTTTCAAGTAGGGCCGGGCTATGTATTTTGGGGCATCTTGTGTTCAGCATATGTACTGATAGAGAATGCTAGCATTTTGTAGCTGTATTCAAGATGGAAGGAAGTTGCTCACAGTGCTGTCGAGACTTGTCACTGCTCCTTGCAGTTACTGAAGGCCCGGTTCATCTGAGACTCACAGCAACGTCCTCATTCTCACATCCCCAGAAGTACAATTTGAAAAGATCAGTGAACTTTATCAAGTCGTGTCTCTTCTTCTCTGACATACACATACTTACAGTCTGTCCTTGTTTCGAGTTGAAATTTTGAAAATAAAAAGTCTTTGGTCCTGAACTATTGACATCTCATAGTCTCCGATCACAGGGGCAGAAAGAAGGAGATGAACCAGGCAGCCAGGTGAGGCTGGTGTTTCCAGGTGAGGTGAGGGGAGGCCTGCTCTGATCTTGGACTTGACGGTTTCCCAGTTCCATGCTGTGGTCACAGACAGTTTGGAGGTGTGACTGGGGCTGAAACACTTGGGAATGTGGACGCATTCTTAAATTTCTTGTCACTAGAAGTCCATTGATGATTTTTTTTTTTAAGCCATATGTTTTCTTTTCCCCTCTCCTTCCATTTCTCCTTCCCTCCTTCCCTTTGTTTCTTCTTCTTCCTCCTCCTCCTTCTTTCTTTGGCTAATCCCCTCTGAAATAATTAATGACTAATTGGTAGTCAGTGGGACTAGGGTGAAGTTTGCTTTGATGATTGAACAAGGGCCTGTCCCCCATAAATAAAGGTGCTATTTCCAATAATAACTTCTCCCTTATAGATTGGAAATCCTTTATAATTGGGTAGAAGATGCTACCCTTGTAGCATATAAGGACCCTCTCTTTTCTCAGCTGTCCTATTCAGAACTGCATCAAGTTTTCCACCATCTCAGAAAACCTATGGGAAATGTCCTATCTTCTGGCCAGTTGCTGGCCATGCCGCGCATTGTAGAACACGGAGGGGTTGATGGTAGATGATAGTAGATGACCATCGGGAAGTTACCCTGAACAGTCCCTATTAACCAGGTATATGGTGTCAAGGACACTTTATAACTTGCTATGGACCCACACAAGAATTTTAGCTAGCTTCAAAACCTTATTATTGGCCTCTTGACATGAGGGCACTAACCCATTCATTTGTGTGTAAGGTCAACACATGTAAGTTCCATGAGGATAAGGGAATGTGTTAGTTTTGTTCACTGTTGTCCTCTGGTACCTAAAACAGTATCTGGTATGTAGCAGGCTCTTGGTGAATATTCGTTGTTCATGGAATAATGGCAATCTTGAAAGGCTCTGAAAAATAACTTCCTTGTGCTTTAGTTTTTCATCTTATAAAGTTGCCAACATTAATAAAATTTATAATTAATAATGCCTTCTAGAACACATTTGCCTTAGAAGCTTTGATTATTAGATGTAATT